ATAGAGATATATATATAGAGATATATATATATATAGAGATATATATAGCGATATATATATATATATAGAGATAGAGATATATAGAGATATATAGATAGATAGATAGATAGATAGATAGATAGATATATAGATATATATATATATAGAAAAAAGAGATCATAAAATACAGAAGTAGGGAAGGATATCTCATTTTGTTTAATGCCTGTTACCTCAACTCCTCTCTCCTCGCATTTCCCGTGGGCGGGGCTCAGAAGCGAGGATAGGAGACGAGGAAAGGAATCGAGGATGAACAAACTGGAAAATGAGAAAGGGAACCCTGTGTTTTGGCTACTTCTTGCACGCAGTCTATGATTTAACGTCACAACGTTATGAACTGTGGGTAATTTCCTCTGGGAAAGTCTGCAGAAACGCGGACTTTCGGGAACTGTGCATACAGCATCAGGCACTTTGCGATTTGACAGCTGGAAAGCTCTAAACTCTCGCGGACTTTTTGGAAACGCAACTCAAAGCCTGAGTCCATTGAATGTTACTATACGTTATTGTTAACTTATTTAAAACACTGCTTTGTCTCTTTATGACCGATTCGCCAGAACCCGTGCTATTTTTTTAATAAGTCTCCACCCGCAACACTCTGTGTGCACACAGCTGCCAGACAGGTTCTTGACTCTGAGTAGACTACATTACCTAATACCATAGATACACATACAAAAGTAAACGCATGTGGTGGTTTTACCTCCGTTCGGGATTTCGCCACCTTCTGTAAATAATGTTGGGTTTTCTGCGCCATCTGTCCATTTCAGTTAAATGTTGGCGAGCTGAGACGTTCACCTCACAACACGCTTTGTATTCATTAAATATCAGGTGCGGTCTCAGGTGTCAACAATCAATCAGAGAGCAATACCTCAGGGGAATAAAGGAAAGAGGTTAACACACGAGTGTCGTTGAATCAGCCATACTTATTGAAACATTCTCTTTAGAGGGCTAGGTCAATGAAAAAACAATATGGATGATGAGATAGAAAATGATCACTTTGTATTTTTCAGCTTTATCACTTGGTGATAATTTGGTAAACAATAATACAAAAAACAAGAAACAAACTATGAAGCCAGTTTTTAAATATTCTTTTATTTTATTTGATTGCTGCCAGTAATGCAATTACAAGCACAAATCCAACCAGTAGAGATAATCAAACTGCAATAAGCTTCCCTCGTCCCCTTAATAAACCTTCTGTTCTTATCCAGTGGGATTTACAATAAGTACAACAGTGAGCTAAGCTTAAGATAAATGATTGATCACCAAAAGTTAAAGCAGACAGAGAGTGTGTGTGTGTGTGTGTGTGTGTGTGTGTGTGTGTGTGTGTGTGTGTGTGTGTGTGTGGTAGATGTCATAAAACGCATGAAATCTGGGTTTACAGAGTTGAATTTGTCAAAAATAATTGTTCCTTATTTCATTGAATCTTTTTTTTTCATTGAAACATTTGAGGCTGATTAACTGTTATACCCTCTAGCCGACAGCAGGTTGTGCTCTCATCTTTCTGGTGTTGGTCAAATAGCCGCAATGCTCTCTCTGTAAAGGCTGCTGTTGACAGAGGCTGCGTGTATGTTGGTACATATTCACACACCACACACACACACACACACACACACACACACACAAACAGTATTACACGTTCACAGCCTATTGTATCTTTTCACAGAAGCCTTATGAGAGAAAGAGATTTATACAATACAATGATCTAAAAGTAATCCATTATAAGTAGAAGTCATGAATTACACATCCTACTTAAATACAACAATAAAAGATGTATTATCAGTTCATTTGTACGTATAGTACAGTGTAGTTTTGTTACTTTTTTTTTCTCTCTCTCGCATTATTTTAAATCAAACTATGTGAGAGGTTTAGAAGGGAAATCAACTCACAGACAACATGACAAGGAGCACTAAGCCATTGGTTTAATCTTTAACAAGTTACATAGATATATATTATACCTTTATCTTACACATATATATGTATTTTTTTATGTTTCTGAATATAGCTGTCAGATAAAAGTAGTGAAGTAGAAAGCACAATATTTCCCCTTTAAATGTGGTGGAAGTAAACATAAAAAGGTAAGTACAGTACTTGAGTAAATGTACAGTGTGATGTGCTGGTAAACATACCACAAAAACAAACAATATTGAGTATTTACCATTTACCAGACGTCTTGTCCGTGGCTGGAAGTTTTCCGTCCTCTGCACTCATTCAATAAGGCCAACCTGAAAATAAAAGCTGTCGAAAAGTAGGACACCGTGAGGACATGCTGAGGCTGCTGCATTATGGGACGGTCATAAATACAGGTAGAATACACAATACATCAGCTGCTCGGCCGGACTCACACAGAACGACACAGAACCTTAGCAGAGCTCTTCAGAATTGCACAGAGAATTAAGACATGGATTCAAAGGTAAGACACAAGATCTGCTGTACATGCTTAAAGCCTTTGACATGTGAATGACCTATCCTGCTAACAGATATTCAATATGTTAAAATTCCGTTTGCATGCAGACATTACGAAAACAGCGGGTTTTGTGATGCTGTACATTAGTTATTGTGTGATTTGTTCACCGAATGCTCCACTTCTGAAACAGACAGCCCCACAGCTCGGCTTAGCCTTCAGAGTCTTGCCCTGTCGACAGTGAGCTGTTTGCTCACATAAATAAAGGATGAGTTGAAAGTTTAGTTGTTTGGAACTAATCGGACCTGTGAATATTTATTTGGACAAGTGGTGGATCAAGGACACTTTGTGATCCAACTTGTCCTTCACTCTTTAGAAACACGATTGCAATAGACGTATTATTTGCCTCTTATTTCTGTCAGATGTTGAGATGTGTTCTTGTGTTTGAGTTAATACTAAACAGTGTGTGGGTTGAAGACTTTTTTGAATGGTACACTTTGAACCCTCAGTGCAGGATTGAGGCTACGCATGAAATGAAAGGAGATACTCCAGGAACCATTGGTTTGCGTTATCATCAGGGCTGGGTATATCTAACCTCAAAAGTTTTTGAAGTTTTTAGTCTTCTGACTTTATATACACATCAAAAAAAATATCTACAAATAGAATATTATTTTATTAGACGTGTACTGTATTTTATCATATTATACTGCACTGTATTTAGGCACAGTCATATCATGGAGTTAATACAGCAATCACCAGTAATGCATTTCAGAACTTTGAGCCTAATTTGTTCAATGAAAAAGTGTGTTTATGGTATTGAAAAGTGCTTTTTTGTGTCAGTACCACAGCTCACATATCAAATTGTCACGGATATAAAAAAAAACTTTAAAAAGTAATAGTGCATCCCTTAATGTCAGACCCATTTGAGGTTGTTTTGATTTAGTCTTCAGTCTTATAACACAATGAAAATAGTAGGTATCCAATACAGCAAAACTGTCGGTTAGACATATTTTCTGTTCTTCATAGATGGAGGGCAAACCTACAACGTAAATCATATCTTTTCAAGCAGAAGTTGCCACTGCATTTATATTTTAACTATACAGTGGATTAAATCAACATGTGCCAAACACATATGATTGGATTGTTGAGGTAGGAGGTGTTGCCATCAAATGATACTGGGTTTTCCATGAGTACTGTAAATCAATAAGACGTGGCCACTACAGCTCATCATTGAGTAGATCCTTGAAACCTCTCAGTATTTGCATTATTGATTACATTATGCTGATGACCATTTTTTCCAGCATGCTCTCTTATGTCACCATGTATTTTGGCCAATCTAAGTAACATAAGATGCCTTTGTTGATGCTTACAGGAAGCACAATGTTAAATTTTAAACAGACAGAATGAGAGGGCAATGTTACGCTGCCCGCAGGCCTGTCACAACTGACCCACAAGACAAGAGATGAGATAGAAGCACCGGGGTGCAATGTTGTATTATAGTGATATCAATAAAAATAAATAAAAAATAGCATTAAAAGTACAATAGTTCATCTTCATCTGTTTCGTCTCCCCACATTTCCTGTTGGCACTCCATAATATAAAGGCAGACATCTTAAAAAATACTATTTTTGTGGTTGTGCATATACAATATGATACATAAAATCAGTTCTGTTCCATGTTACAGATGAATCATTTGAATACATATTTTATTTTTTTAATTGAGGTTTAATTTAAAAGCTTTCATTGAAAACAGAATGCATAACAGTAGCACATTACCGTAGTTCTGAAACAATCTGTGATTTTGACAGGTGGTGTCGCCGTATCTACAGTAGCTTGATCCAAAACTGGTCTCATCGTTATGGCTCTAATGAGCAGCTAGTAATTAGTTTGAAATGCATCCGTCTAATCAAAGATCAGTAATCGAATACCTGTGCTGTAATTTTGTGGGGAGGAGGGTGAGGACGGGTCTCTGGGAGGATAGAGTTACTACAGCCTTGTATTACATACCTGCACACACACACACACACACACACATGCGCGCGGAAACACACGCACACACACTCTTCCTTAAACACATAGAGTAGCTGTTCAACACTGAAGCAAGCGCTGAATGAATGTTTGCTGCCTGGGCTCCATGAATGTTTAACCAGCCCAGTGCTTCCAGAGCCAGGTAGCTGATTACTACCTCATTACCTACATTGCAGGGACGTCAGCTAGGTAGGAAGCAGCAGTGCCACACTCCTCCTTCTTCTCCTCCTCCTCCTCCTCTTCTTCTTCAGCCGCTCTGTCCCAGGTTGTGATAACGGGCCTGCTACGAGCCAGTATTTGAATCAGGGACCGATGCAAACCTGAGTAGCAGAGGAGACGGTAGATTCTTGGTGAAATACCTGTGCTGACTTAAAGAGGCTCCACTATGGGAGAACTCATCGGCTATTAAAGCAGCCATCACAGCCTGTGTTTGTCCGAGTTGCACACCTGGAGGATTGAAGTTCACAGTTATTTGGATTTCTCAGGTTCATCACACAAGACTGATTCAACCATGACGCACATGGTTTTGGAAGTAAAGGAGGTAATTGCATGAACACGGCTTGTGTGTCTTAGCTGCAATTGTGTATATTATTTTAAGTGATTGTAGCATCTCAGGTGCATATTTTCTTAATTGTGGAAAAAAAGAAAATACAGGTAAAAACTCCAGATGTTCTCATAGTGGTTGACTAATTCTGTGGGTGTGCCACAGTAAGTAATATGCTCAAATTCAAATGAAGTAATGACTTTAAAGCTGCACTTATACATCTTTTTCACAAACTCAATTAATCAAATAACTATCTGAAATGTGAAAGGGGTTGCTCGTTGTGACGAATTCACAGAGAATTATCAACCGACTCTGCAGTTAAGCGCTACAGAGTGTTTTAGCGTCTTTCAGCCCATTGCTTTTGTTTAAATGTTTCGGTTCACTCTGCTGCAGAAGCAGTATTTAATGAAAAACATCTGCACGTTACCTGCTCATCACTAAACAACAGACAGACAAAGTTAGTGACTTGCTTGTAAACATAGTGGAGCATTTATCAGATAAAGAGACAGTCATTTCTTTTAACAGTTGGTGGAGACCAAAATCAGAACTAAAATAGTGAATATTGGACGTCAGGTGACATGAAACACGACTCCATAATGAACGCTAATGTTTCCCTATATTTGCTGGATGAGGAAATAGAGCACAGTTTGCAAATTCACAACGACGACTTTCTAAAGTGATAATATGTGAATGTTGACTGACCCAAAGTGGCCGAAAAAGAAATGAATGCTGCTTTAAATAAACTATATTGAACTATATGATATTGTCCAGAAGGGAAAAATGTTTAACCAATTCTGCGATGCAAAAATAGCCAAACAGGGTAATCGGTTCACAGCATAGTTACTGTGTGCTTGTGTGAAACAGTAGCAACAGAGGAGATACTGGACCTGACTGGTGTGATGGAGGCCTGTGATGGTCAGGTTTCTCTAGACACCTGGAGCCCCCTAAATGTGTGTTGCCCTGGGTGATGTGTGGTGCCAGTCAATGGCCCACGAGGAGCGCTATCTCTTTCAGGAGCCTAACCGCCACTTTGTGGCTGCGTAACAGGATCCTGCACCATACTGGATAGACAGGGACAATGGAGCACCCTCTCAGGTGATGGTCTCCGGGTCAGATAGACTTTCCTGTTCCGCTGAAGCCTGACATCAAAATTTGATGTTTATCGTAGTTATTCATGTTGGATTTTTGTGTGCGTTACCTGATACACGTGACTGTGTTTTGTTCATCTTCTCTGTTCGTATGATAAAGTCTTGAGCACTGTCCATTTTACATCAGACGTCAATGTTGCAAAAGAAAAAGCCACATCCCATCTTGTTGCTCTTTTCCTTAGCAAAACTGTCAATCCTCTTACAGCATAGTATTGTTTGATGATCTGCCGTTTGTTCAGCAGATGTAATGTATCCTCTAAATGGCAGAAAAATCTCTGCCCTGCACTTTGTGCCCGGCCAACAGTTGGCACGTCAGAACGTTTTTTTCAGGTGTTATTTACAGACACATGATGAAATGTTTTGGGAGAGATCATCTCTGTGATACAATTAGAAAAAAACATTTGGTACCTAGTTTTATTGTTACTGCTGTTATTCTTTAGGTTAATACCTTAAGCCAGTAGTAAAAGGTATGTTAGGTATATAGAAGCATGTTTTGAATGGCCTCAATTTTTCATATTCTAGTACTGCTACCAGTTGTTGGACTTCTCTCTTTTGTTGTGTCAATTAAAAAACAGGCTAATCCGTATTGTGTTCCGGCCAATGAGAGTGACTTATGTGCTGAATTTACAGCTTTAAGTTGTATCAATTGCTATGTGAAGTATACAATTCATATTTAATGTTCCTAAATGGAGTGGCAACATTCACATGGAAAAAAATGCACTACATTCCTAAAAATAAAAGTAGCTTTCCTATAAAATGATTTGGTGAGAAATACATTCTTCTCGTCATGAAGCCTAATCGTTTCAAGATCGTGGAGTCTTTTAATTTGATTCGCAAGATCAACAAGTTCTTGTTAATGTTCACGCAAGTATGTTGTATGAGGTAGAGTAACATCTACAGTAACGTATTTATCTACAAGCACACACACAAATACATATTTCGAATGAGATTTGCTTCCTGTGTCGTGAACTCATTTGATTATTGATGGTTTCCTATTGAGGGAAGTGGAAACTGTTATCTTTCAGTGTTTCCTGTCATACTGTCCTTTCCCTCAATAAAATTAGATGTTCAGTTCACAATAGGTACAGACGCACACACATACATACACATCAGGGACCTTCAGGGTAAGTAGCTTTTTGAACTTTTTCCTGCAAAACACTGTTGAATAATTTAACGATCACATTTGGGGTTTTTCAGGACGTGGTTTATTGTGACATTTTGATGTGAATTTCTGCTGGGTCAGTAGAGCATCAGCTTGTTTTACTGGAGAATGATCTGTGAGTGTCAGTTACTCCGGTGACAGGTCAACTTGGCAGTGATGAGAGCCAAACTACTGAGGCGTAATACTGGGTGGCTCTTTCATGGCACCGTAATTAAAGTGCATTGCGTTTGGCTGATCATTTTACCTGGCACTTCTTCAGTTGAGCATCCTTAAGTGGCAGATCATTTCCTGTGTTTATACATATGCTATAAAATGACTGTAATTACTTCTAGATTCCATTTGATTAAGTTTTTATTTGTGTCAGTTATTGTTTAATTCTATATTAAACTGTGGACAATATGAAGCTTCCGGTGTTGGTATTTCGTGTTTGTTCTGTTTCTGTCCTGAACAAAACTGATGGCTTGTTAGAGAGCAAGGAAGCAGATTAGATGGTGATGGCTGAATTTAGATCTGTCCCGCGCATGAAGGATGCAGCCAAGGCCACTAACGGCTCTGACTGGAAGTCACAGATATAGGGACAAACAGACAGGACATGAGAACCCACTGGGAAATATACATCCTAGATCATCCATGATTGGGCATGCGTGTGTGTATGTGTTCTTGAGTGGTGACAACCTCAACAAAAACAGATAACTTTTGGGGAAAACAGGACACAAAGGAAAAGGATGGGACATATAGGACTGGTCTTCACTAAAGGAATGACAACGGGGTCAAAAATAACATCATATCTGTAGCGTTTCTTTAAAAAAGCAATACATTGTCTTATCAAGGTCTAAAGTGCAAAATACAGTTTTGACATTTCACTTTGTTGTGTTGCAATACCTTGTTTTCTTGTGTTCCTGCTCGGGTGCAGAGCCTGGAGGTGCGCTGTAACCAGATGCTGAGGAACATGGAGGCCTCCCTGACAGCCCGGGATCGCGTGGGCATCCAGGATTTTGTTCTGCTGGACGACTACACGAGTGAGAGTGCCTTTCTGGACAACCTGAGGAAACGCTTCCATGAGAATCTCATTTACGTGAGTGTAATGTCGGATCACCCGACTCGTTCTGTTACTCTAATTAAACTTCACACCCTCGACCTTCAACCCAACAACGTCCTAATGCTGATGTTGCTGAATAAGGCACCTTGTGTTGCTGAAGCAGCAGCTCCTGTTCTCTCCATTTGCACAGTGAGCAATCTAAAGGTCACCGGTGTCCATGAGGTCATGACAAGTGATTAACCAAACTTATTGCTTTTGATAAGAGGAACAAAATTACTTATCAGCACAGTGATGAATGCACAGCACACTGCTGGAAGCTTTCCCTCAATGTCATGTAATGTTTGAGGAAAAACAATGTCCTGTATTATCAAATGTGCAAGAGTTGCAGAACATGACTTCCTCTCCTCGTCTTTCTCTGCAGACCTACATTGGAACTCTCTTGGTGTCGGTCAACCCATATAAAGACTTAGATATCTACAGCAAGAAGCAAATGGATACCTACGTGGGTGTGAACTTCTTTGAGCTGCCACCTCATATGTAAGATTTCATAAATGTTGTATTCATTCATGTTGTGTATTGGCATACAGTGGGGGGGATGGATTGTCATGGAATTTTGTACAGAAATGTATGTTTCCCAGAGGACAAATTCTAATGACTTTTCATCTAGCGCTATCATCAGATCAAAATGATGATTTCACCAAAGCAAAACTAAAGACATTCCTATTCTCATCAGCCTCAGCTGTACTTTGTGTTTAGTGCTAATTAGCAAACTAAGATGTGAACATGATAAACATTTTACTTGCTGACATTTGCATTAAGCTAAAAGTACAGCTGTATCCAAGTACAACTTTCAATTCCATGAAAGATTATCACATTAGAAGGAAAAAAGAAAGGATGTCAATGTGACACAAGAGTTTATAAATTATAAATGCAAGGCATCATGGTGCCCAAGCAGTTTAGGTGCCAACCCACGAACCACAACGACGCAGATCTTTGTTGCAGGTCATGCTCGATCTCTCTCTCGCCTCATTTCCTTTCATCTTTCCACTGTCAGCTAGCTAGCCAATAAAGGCATCACAACGACATAGAGTTAAGTTTTTGGCCTCTTGCAAAGGAAGAGCAAAATGCAATTTATAACTTAAACAGGAGTGTTAAAAGCTACATTGTGTTCAGCAATAAAAAAAAGCACTCTTTGCCGAGTCTGACTTCGCGGCTGACTTTGTCCTATTACTGCACTTTCAGTTATGCGCTCGCAGACAACGTCTTCCGCACCATGCTGTCCGAGTTCAACAACCACTTCATCCTGATCTCAGGGGAGAGTGGGGCCGGCAAGACCGAGACCTCCAAGAAAATCCTGCAATTCTATGCTGTCAGTTGTCCAAGTACCAAACTCCTGAACAACGTCCGCGACAGGCTGCTTCTCTCCAACCCAGTGCTTGAGGTCAGTGACATGGATATGTGTACCATGGCTTATAACATGATTTTAAAGGCATTTAATGGTGTTTTGTTTTACATCATCAAGGCTTTCGGAAACGCCAAAACCCTGAAGAATGACAACTCAAGCCGCTTTGGGAAATACATGGACATCCAGTTCAACCACCAGGTGGACTTAAATATATTAATTACATTACAGTGTAAAATACAATGTCAGGATAATACAACACAGCAATGTAATGATCTCAAGGTTCACACCAAGGACTTAAGTTAAGGGTTAAGGCTTACCTTTCGCACTCAGGGGGGTGCAGTTGGTGGTCACATCCTGAGTTACCTGCTGGAGAAGTCCCGTGTGGTCCACCAGAACCACGGGGAGAGAAATTTCCACATCTTCTATCAGCTGGTGGAGGGAGGAGAGGAAGATCTGCTCCGCTGGCTCGGCCTGGAGAGAAACTGCCAGAACTACAATTACCTGGTGCAGGTCAGTGGAAAAAAACAAAACGGAACTCTACTTATATCTGGTGCGACAAAAACTTCTCGACTCAGACATTTTTATACTGTGTCTCCTCCAGGGTGATTGTGCCAAAGTTAGCTCTATCAATGATAAAAGTGACTGGACGACGGTGCGGAGAGCCCTCTCTGTCATAGAGATCAGTGAGAGTGATATTGAGGTGAGGTGTAACAGTAGATCTTTACACACCTGGACAAAGCATTATTTAAATACATTTACGATACATTTTGCTGGTGATTCATAAAGTATTTCTTTCTGGGTGTAAACACAGCACCTGTTTGGAATAATTGCTAGTGTGCTCCATCTGGGAAATGTCAAGTTTGAAGCAGATGTTCGAGGATACGCCTCTCTCAACAACAACCAGGAGATGCACTGGGTGTCAAAGGTGAGCCCCCCCCCCAAAAAAACACTGCGGATAGTTTAAACTCTAAATATGTCTCCATGCAACTTTCTGATGGAAACCAGGAAGAGATTTGGTGCGACATGTTTTTGCTTGTATTTGCTGTGCAGTTGCTGGGGATTCCTACTCAGGTGCTACAACAGGGCTTAACCCACAGGAAGATTGAAGCCAAAACAGAGGAGGTGACTTGACTTCTTTGATTTGATTTTAAGTATAAAATATCTTTAACTTGTGTGTAGTGCTTCTTTTTAATAATCTACATTATTCTGACGTTAAAGGTGTTTAGTCCCTTCTCTGTGGACCATGCAGTATATGCCAGGGACGCCCTCGCCAAAGCAATCTATGGCCGCACTTTCAACTGGCTGGTCAACAAGATCAATGAATCTTTAGTTAACAAGGTGAGGGGGAAAAAAAGCATTCTTCTCTCTTTCTAATCTTGCCTAGCCAGACCTGTCTCATAAAGATCACAGAAATGGGGAGTAAATTGGGGTAATGACATTTTAGCAACCCTGAGGTGGCCATTTGATTTGTTGTGAGTCTGAAAACACCCAATTCTGGTAACAGCACATCTGGCAAATTTGACTTTGGGCAGATTTTTCCCCCCACAATGTAATTGTATTGGTTTAAAGTAACACCAACATATGAGGTTGAATTTCTCCAAAGAGGTCTGGCTTCACAAAATTGCACATTTTCCATGTGAAGAAATCATATCTGAGTAAATCATCTGTAGGATTCCTCCAGGAAAACAGTAATTGGTCTGTTGGACATCTATGGTTTCGAGGTTTTAAACGTGAACAGGTGAGATCCCGCACAGATGAGCTGATTCAGAAATGAAGAATATGATACTAACGGTGCCTCTGATGTATTTTAGCTTTGAGCAGTTTTGCATCAACTACTGCAACGAGAAGCTGCAGCAGCTTTTCATCCAGCTGACCCTCAAGTCAGAGCAGGAGGAGTACGAGATGGAAGGGATTGAAGTAATAACGCTATTAATCCTTATTTAATATTGTCATTTGTGGATCACAGTGCAGAAATAATACTCAGGATAAAAACTGCTACTGAAACACTAATGCTTTCCTCATTTGTTTTTTTGCACAGTGGGAACCAGTGCCATTTTTCAACAACAAGATAATCTGTGATCTCGTGGAGGTGAAACACAGAGGAATCATATCTTTATTGGTAAAGTTAGGATTGAGTTATGCTCCTCCAGAACGACACATAGTATGCTCGCCCACAAAACTAAAACTGAATACATTGAATTATTGATGCTTGTCCTCTCATATAGGACGAGGAGTGTTTACGTCCTGGAGAGGCCACAGATCTCACCTTCCTAGAGAAGATGGAGGAAACGATTGGTGGTCACCCTCATTTCGTCACGTGAGCTCTACAGCTTTGCTTTAGAGAAAGTGCACGTTGTCTACGCATGTTGAGACCAGCACATCGCGTGACCATGAATATCAGAATAACCTACACTACATGTCCCCTTCCTGCAGACATAAACTTGCCGACCAAAAGACAAGGAAGTCATTGGACAGAGGAGACTTCCGCCTCTTGCACTACGCTGGGGAGGTTACATACTGTGTTGTTGGTAAGAGATGTTATACCTCTGCGTGTTAAATCATTTCTGTCTCTATTACAATGCCATTAAAAGAACAGCGGCCTATTGCTAAAATGTAGTGTAACATTAGCACAAATAGAGAAGAGTCATAAAGTCTTGAACACATGCTCTCACAATTTCTGTGTGCGATTACATACGTCACATTTTCAGCTTTCAATATCTGCAGATAATAAAATACATCACTTTCAAATACTATCGTGTAATTTTGACAAATTACCATGAAATGTAATTTAATCTTAACATGTCACAAGCCTAACGTTGCCCATAACACAATGTGTTACCAATCTAGCTTGATATTGGTAACTAGCATGTTATAACAAGGTGCCGTAAAAACCTTCAAGGACAATTAAACTACACCATATCATCAAAAACTAGGGCTGTGATTCATAGAAAGTAAGATTTGCGCCACTTTTTAGCGTTTTTTTAATCACGTTTTTTTAATCACGTTTTTTTAATCACGTTTTTTTAATCACGTTTACATAACTATGTTTACACTGCTATGGAATCACCTCTGCTCAGCCTTGCTAATTAAACTTATAATTTGTAAGAGGAAGAATGTGTTGTTGCCAAAATAAATACTATACTTTTTGCTATTTTAAAGTTTTTACTTTTCTTTAAACTTTCAGGATTCTTGGACAAAAACAATGATCTCTTGTATCGAAATGGGAAAGAGGTAATTTAATTTCATTTCTCTAGTATGAAACCAGGTGATACACAAATGTCGTTGAATATTTGTTTTGAATCTAACCTATGACTTCTGATATCCTCTGGTCCTACCAAAAAAGAAGCAAAAATAGAATTGAAAATATACATAAAAGTAAAGCAGCATAATAACAAAATTATTTATGGTATATATGGTTTTGTCTGACATTTTGGATGCTTACATAGTTTTCCTATTCTCCTTCAGGTCATGCGACAGTCCAAGAACGCTATTATCAAACACTGTTTTCCTTCTTCTGAACCGGACAGCAAGAGGAGACCTGAAACTGTAAGAAACGATTCAGATGATGACGTTCAATGACCCACCGATTTAATGATTTACACAACTAAACCATTGACACCTTTCCTGTGACTCCCCAGGTGATGACTCAGTTCAAGAGCAGCCTAGTGGGCTTGACTGAGATCCTAATGTCCAAAGAGCCCTGGTATGTCCGCTGCATTAAACCCAATGACGCTAAGCAGCCAGGTGTGTCCCAAAAATCCTCCACTTCTGAAAAGACCCTTGAGCTCTAGCTGAGCTAATGCATTTTACTGTTTACTGTTCAGCCTGCAGTCAGCCAGCAGATGAAGTTAGACAAGACAGTTTTGACCCCTGAACTCTGTAGATTACCTTTGATGTCCCCTTCAGGACGCTTTGATGATGTGTTGGTGAGACATCAGGTGAAGTACCTGGGGCTGATGGAGCATCTGAGGGTCAGACGCGCTGGGTTTGCTTACCGACGCAAATACGACATATTTCTCCAGAGGTATAGCCAAGCACACTTTCACTCTTTTTTTCATCTAAAGTGCACATAAAGTTTCTCTTTTTCTTGCAGAAGACATTTGGCATGTTGTCATTTTTGTTTATCAAGTACAAAAGCTGGGTGTGATTCTGCGGTCTTCTTCTGTACTCAGGTATAAGGCTCTGTGTCCTGACACCTGGCCCAACTGGAAAGGTACGGCAGCAGAAGGCGTGCGGTGCCTGATCAAACACCTGGGCTACAAACCTGATGAGTACAAGATGGGCAGGTAGGCAGATGGTGCTGTATGGAAGCCATAGGTTCACCTGGAAGAGATACAGGAACATCTCACTAAATGTATTTTCCCCTCAAGGACAAAAATTTTCATCCGGCACCCTAGAACTCTGTTTGCAACCGAAGACACCTTTCAGGTCTGCAAACATAAGCTAGGTGAGATGCTGTTCTGTACATTCACTTGCACTTCTACATTAAGCATCCAAACGCTCCTGAGGGTGAAACTGTAACTGTCATTGTTGCAGCAACAAGGATTCAGGCGAAGTACAAAGGCTACAGAGTGAAAGGAGACTACCTGAAGCAGAGAGAGGCTGGTGAGTGTTAAAATGCACACTGATGCTAAACTAAAAGCTGCACAAGCATTATAAGATATTACTTTTTATTCCCTTGTCTTATCTAAATAGCCACGAAGATTGAGACCTGCTGGAGAGGTCTGCTGGCCAGAAAGGAGCGTGTAAAGAGGGCATGGGCTACCAAAGTCATCAAGAAGTAAGTTCACACGATGACAGGAGATGGTCACACAGCCTAATAAAGTCGATGTTGAGAAATTACCCGTCTTTTGATTCGTTCTAGATTCATTAAAGGTTTCATGACTCGAAACCAGCCGGCCTGCGTTGACAACAGTGAGTACCTGTCGTACGTGAGGCAGAACTACCTCACACGTCTGAGGGACAACCTTCCCAAAACCGTCTTGGAAAAAGACTCTTGGCTCACTCCTCCTCCGATAATGAAGGAGGTTGGTGATGCATTTGTTTGAATCAGCTGTTTCTAAGGCTGTATGCGCATGAGGGCACACGTTGGTGATTTTGGTAATGGCTGCACGCTGTAAAAGGTGTCAAACTGTATTTGTTTTATGAAGTTGTCCCAGCTGTTGAAGAAGCTCTACATTCGTCACATGGTGCAGAAGTACGTCCGAGGAATCACTCCACAGAGGAAAGCACAGGTATGATCGTAGGTGGTAGGCACCGCAATACACGCACTCACAACATATCTATTCTACATTTAAAATAACTAAATAAAGAAAAATGTTTGTGCTTGAGTCCCAGACAAATTCACTTCAGGAAATTTCTTACTTACTTTTTTTAAACTTTTCTTGTTTCCAGCTTCTGCTAAAAGCACAGACAAGCTCCATGTTCAAAGGAAAAAAAGAAAACTACCCCTTCAGTGTGTGCAGACCGTTCGTGGACACCAGAATTAGTAAGACTGCTGAGTTTTTTTTCTTTTCACGGAGTGTACATACAGGAATATAGAATTTAGCATGAATACTTTTAAGTAGAGCATACAACATGATAATACTGGATAGTTAAAATAGTCTGTGAAGACCGCAGATACCAGCAGTACTTTACATTAGATTAGATATATTCATGCTCTACCTTTTTCAGAATTTGCTTTTTAAATATGGAATACGTCTTTCCAGATGATGAAGAATTAGCAACAGTACATTTACATTTTCAAATTAAACCTGATTATGCAATCTCAGATACTTTGTGAGCCGGTTAATGGACTATTTTGCAGATTGATAAAGCAAGTTATAATGGAATTACTGAGACAGTATCGTATTATTGTTTTCAATTTGTGTATGAAATCCTCCCTCATGACTTCTCTTATTCTATTAAGATGCAGAAGACATAAGCATCAAAGTGCTTCAGATGATACGGCATGAGCACATCAAGGTAAACTAACATTGGAATAAACTTTGCATCTTCGTTCTTTTATCCACTCTGACCGTGTGTGTGTGTGTGTGTGTGTGTCCGTCCCACAGTACAGTGTGCCGGTGGTGAAGTACGACAGGAACGGGTTCAGGCCTCGTCTCCGGCAGCTCATCTTCACCCAGAAAGCCGCCTACCTGGTCGAGGAGGCCAAGATCAAGCAACGGATGGATTACATCTCTCTGAACGGTAACGAATGAGACAAAACGAGCATCAGTATCTGAAGGTAGAGCTACGCACATGCTTGAAACTTACAATCATGTTTATTTTTCTATTTAAAGGTGTATCAGTCAGCAACCTGAGTGACAACTTCCTGATCCTTCACGTTACATGCGATGACATCAAGCAAAAGGTAGACCTATCAACAGGCTGGTGTCGACACACAATATATTTTTAGATATAAAACAATGTTTTGGTTGCCTTTTAGGGGGATCTGGTTCTGCAGTGTGACTACCTGTTTGAAGCCTTGACTAAGCTGAGTCTTATTGCCAACAAGCAGAACTGTACCAAAGTGGTCCAGGGCAGGTACAGAAACTGGATTTATGTGGGAATGTTAATTTAGCAAAAACGATGGACGTTCCTAATTCAATGTGGAATTGTCGCTTGCAGTGTGCGATTTGACATCCAGCCTGGCAGAGAGGGGTTTGTGGACTTCAAGAGTGGTCAGGAGTCAATGGTCTACAGGGCAAAGAACGGCCATTTGATGGTGGTGAGTGTGGACTTCATCAAAGCATCATGTTAAGACGACGTCAAATTACCATTTGTATCAACAATTGACAAAGGTCTCTGCTTTCTTCTTTAGGAATCTACCAGAACCAAGTCCAGATGATGCTGCCAGTGATTTGGGATGATGTTGCTGCGTATTTTAGGAACAGTCGTGTTTGTTTTGTAATCCTGCTCCATGGTTGATGCCAATCGTGTTTCATTTAGGCTGATTTTTACCTTTTGCATCTTTATGACAATATTATCCACTGATATGTATGCAAACATTACACTGCCAATATCTCAGTAGAGCAGACAAGAAACCAGTAGTAGAGCCTAGCCAGAACATCATCGGGTCTGCTTGTTCCTAATGTCTGGAGTTTAAATCATCTCTGAGTGAACAAACTGATCCCAGATTAGATTCGGGGAAATCAACCATCCTTAATATCAATAGAAGCGCTTAATCTGTTTTTGTATTAAATGTATCTTAAATCCTGTGTAGATGATAACATGATAAATATAAATATATATATGTGTGTGTGTGTGCAGCCATGAATGTTTCTAATACCTCACCCATGTTTTACGGTTACATTAAAAACATGTTAAACCACAGACACTGCACGTGAAAAAAGTATTTCTTGGGGGTAAATTACTTAATTACAGAACAAAATACATCAGCACATTTTAAATGAATGCTTGATAATCTATACGTAAGCATATTTTGCTTAGATGATTTTTGAGGTTGCAGCTCCCCCTGCTGGCCTACAGGTCCCCTCTGGGACTGTTGTCAGCAAACTTGTCGTGCTTATGTTCTGTTCATAATTCATTTTCCATCTACCTTTAGTGATGCAAAATTGGTGTCCAGGAAACAAATACGAATGTGAGGCATAAAAGTGTAACTTGTTTTTGTCTTCTAAATGATTCATTTTGTCTCAGTGAAGGCAGCATTGGATTGCCCAGTAGCTTAATCTGCAGCACATTCTGCTGGACAACACAAATACCAACATGAAAATAAAAAGGAAAATGCTGATGTGGGATAGAAATGCAAAGATTGCATTTAAATTCGGAGAGTGCATATTCTCAAATTTTAACTACAGTTCAACATACTCAAAGTTAGCATCTTAACGTATCCGATATGCTAACCTGGGCTCAAACTTTGAAAGAAGGCCCATTTTGGACTGAAGGCACCGCTGTGATACATAATCAAAATAATGAATTAAATACACAGTATGTCACCTATTTCACATCTTGTTACTATCTAATATGACTGATTTGTTAAAACAAATATTCTCTGAACATGGCAGCATGTTTTATTTAGCTATTATCCCCATAATTGTTTCTTAACTTTGTAGCTTTATCTAAATAACAGCCAAGGTGAGTCTGATTTACAACCTAAAATCTATTAAGCAGATATCAAAACTCACAAACAGATTAACGTTGAATTGAGAAGCGGTCAAAGGTAGTTGTAGTGGAAATGAATCCTCTTAATTGCCCTGTGAGAAATAAACCTAATGAACCTGATGGGCCAGGGTCCCAGGCCTTGGAAGGTGCTGCTGTTTTTAAAGAAGAGGGTTAGTTCGTGAGCTCAGGATGACCCTATAGACATAAGATACATTTGTTATCTGGGTTTGATGAGTTATGCGTTTGCAACGTCTGCATATGTTCAGGGTTAAGCGATACAAGTTACATCTAAAAAGAACAACGTATGATAAATTGCCACAACAGTGGTCATGTAAGGATACGGTCAGACTTGTTATCATAATGACCGCTGGTTAATGATTAAACAGTTATTCGGAAATGGCTGTGATGAAATAGGCCAAGGTTTAACGAAACTGCTGAGTATTTAAACCTACACAAACAAATTGAAGCAGCAGCAGGAACCTCGGTCATGATGGAAAGATTCACAGCAGTAATATGTTTCCTTCTGGTTTCATGTATCTGCAGGATATCAGGTAAAAACACACACACTTCCAAATCGCTACATATATTGTATTTTGTCTCCGACAGTTGGAAAGATACCAACCTATAAACATGAACTGCTTTTATCAATTTCAAACCGGTGGAGACACTCCAGACTCCACACTTAAAATACTTTCTCCTTATTTTGAACAGGACAGACATGTGAAGGAAGTTGTGGCGGAAAATTGGACTCATGTTCATGCCACTCGACATGCATGTCTCTGAAGAACTGCTGTACAGACTATAAAGAGTACTGTGTGGAAGTCTTTCCATATTCCGGGACCATGTTCGGTGGGACGGATTTTATTGTCCTTGACGCGAGTTTCACCAATAGTTCGGAGATTCTATGCAGGTAAGACTTTCTGTTACATGCAAGCGTTTACGTGTTGCTAAATCTGTTCTGGTTAAACCTTTCACTGATCGACTGATTAATGTGAAGAGAAATACAATGAGGAAAAAAATGTCTTTTTAATTTTAGCATTTTCAAGGGCTTTCAACCGCAACTCATAGTCTTTATCAGGTCTTCTGAGCAATATTCTGACGAAGATATCAAAAACATTATGAGGTGCGATTGAAAGCAATGGAAAAAGCGTGGAGTGAACTTTCACACCCCAAGTATCACAGTCAAATTATACAGTTGAAGTATATTACAGAAAACTGCTGATCATTCTTTTATAGGTTCAACGGCAATATCGACACTGTGGGGTATGTGGATGAAAACAGTAGAGGCCATTGCATCTCCCCACTGTTGTATGAAACGGGATGGGTTCCCTTGCACATCTCCTCTGATAATGGCACTACATTCAGTAGAGTTGGAGCCTGGCTCTCAGGTACAATAACTGCATATTTTCTGTTGAGGAAGACCTCAAAACTCTTCCATATATTTTATTACACACAGTTTTCCATTTAGTGCGACATTAATATATGATTTACTTGATTCAAATGTGTTGCTTTACAGTGCATACTGGCAAGTTAGATGCTCAGTTTAAGGCAACTCTGGTCAACGCAACAAAATGGCAGTATTATGGTACACCTGACGTTGGAGGCTTTCTTGAGATGACGTGGAATACGTCTTTGGTCAGAGCGGTGAGGGTCAATATAGAGGTCTGGGGATACAGCGAGACAGGTGAGTATGCCTGTTCGTACACCGCATTTACACTTGTTAGATCACATGATTACTCATTCGTAAAATGCTGAATTCTGTATATTTCTCTGTAGGGAAGCCCTATACAGACACCTGGCAGGGTGAGTGGCAGTATCTGTACTCACTTGCAAAGGATCAGCCCAACAATGGATCTTTTAGCTTTTTGCCCAAACCAGCAGAGAGCGGCTTTTCAAGTTGGGAGCTTGGCTCTCTACGTATCAGCCCCAGCACCAACCCCGATGGCATACAGTATGTACAAACACTTCCTATAATATAGAATACTACGATAACACATATTATTGTTGTCGTCAGCTGTACAATATTTGTCATGCGTTTCATTTAGGAATGTACAAGCGGCATGGACTGAGGATCACGCTCTGGCCTGGCATCTGGAGGAGAGGTTCAGGCAGAACTCGACAGTTTGGGCCCTGGAGAAATGTTTAGCATGGGACCAGCTGGAAAATCAGCTGCCCAACTTCCTCAGCGAGATCATCGACTGTCCCTGCACTCTGGCTCAAGCAAGAGCAGACACTGGGAGGTTTCACGTAAGTGTAGCAAATGGTTCAATGGTTATCTGTACGCCATTTAATTACAGATAAACATAACGCAAACACGCAATACGTCTCACATGAACTGAAAATGACATCATCACAGTAAAGCAATTTCCTGTGTGGTCGATTTTAGTTATTACTTTATGTGTTTATGGGGATTGTCAGTGGCCGTAGCCCTTTGCTTATACTCACTGCTTATCACTGCTCATTAAAGTCAATGAGACCTCTCCCTTAGTTGTTGCATTCACAAGCATTATCTGCAAAGCTGAACTAATTTCAGCATCAATTTTATGCCTTTTATCTTAAAAATGTAGAGTTAGGGTTAGGCAACGCATTAGTCATTCAATATCAGGCGAGTGACAAATGGGATGATAAAACTGCACATGAGTGTATTGATGGGGACCATTATGCCTCTGAACGGCAGTACATACATGAACACAGTGAAATGCACATTTGGCTGCCTGGTTAGCACAGACCCTGTATCTCTCTCTTCAGACGGACTATGGCTGTGATATAGAGAAGGGGAGCGTGTGCACCTACCACCCTGGATGTGTTCACTGTGTGAGGGCTATACAAGCCAGGTGAGTCCCTCACTCACAACTGTTGACTAGCCTTCACGGTCAGCTGTCAACATTATGTTCGAATATCACAAATGCATTCACAACATTAGCAATGATTCTGAAACAGTATTTATACGATTTGCAGGGTAGGTTTTATAGCACAACTTTACTTTATGTACTCGGTAGTATTTATGGTAATATTTTCAGCTGTTAGCCGTCAGTCTGGCTGAATCTGTGATACTTGAAACGACATACTGTAAGCATTTTGCAAAAAATGTATTGATCATGTAAAATGAAGGTTTCATGCACAGAAGAGCAAACAGAAAATGTCTGAATTGGTATGTCCATTCTTATACTGCACTTTATAGCCTTTTGGCTGCCTATTTATTTATTATCTATACTCTTATCTACAACATCAAAGACATGTTCATGATTCCTCACCCTAAAAGTAAGCAGTGGTAAATACCTGCATCAGTCCTCTTTATGAACGGTCAACTTGAATTATGGCAGCTGGAACTGTCGGACACTCTGTGTAGGCTACTGACGAATGGAGCTCTTGTTGAGACCAGTCTATTAATCTACATTTATATTTAAATTATATCAAAGCGACTCTGAAAGTAAGTGGATAACTATTGCGATGTATTGTGTAATGGAATACTATAAGGTACACTGCTAATTATAATTTCAATGTAACTACTAACTATACTGCAAGGCATTTAGTATAAAAACAACTAGAGCAGCTGCTCTAATGTAATCCATATGAATACTACTAAATTGCTAAAGCACTAATAAATAATATTCTAGCCACTGGTACTTAAAAACGAATTAGTATGCACTCATGCCACGGTAATGTTGGTCTGTCAGTAGGTCAGTTCACCACCTCACCAGGCTGAAATATCAAAAATATCAAAAA